ATACATACATACACACAAACTTGAAAGATTTCATCTTTTTGCATGTAAAATTTTGATCCTATTTGTCTACCTTAAAGTATGTTTATACATTTTTTTACCTTTCTTTTATTACCAATTTACCAGATTTTTTTTTTGCCATTATATGGCCTCAGACAATCAAATAAATTGGTTTTATGTATGACCGATTTCTCATAATGGCCCAATTTCATTTGATTAATCAACCTGTCTGATATATTAGGTTAATATATTGGTATATTAATAATATTGGTTTATTAATAATATATTGTATTATTAATCTTCCTTATGCGTCTATCTTTATTTAATCCTATGTGCATTTCCCCTCTGCATATTCCTTTCTCTTTGTCTCGGTTCCGCTCTCTTTTGTGTACTTTGTACTTGGTACTTTAATTCAATTTTACAATTTTAATTGTTTCTCTTTTTCCTTCTTTTTCAGTCACTCTCATTCTCCTGGCTCGATGGCCGCAGTTGTGAGGAATTCTGATTGGTCATGCGGTCGCTGCACCTTTCTTAACTCCAGCGGCTCCTTGCGGTGCTCTATTTGTGAAGCTCCTCGGCAGAAGCCGGATTTGAACCATATTTTGCGCCTCAGCAGTGCTGAGGAACCTCGCTGGTCCTGCCCCCGCTGCACTCTGACCAATCACCATGGATTAGGCTCGTGTTCTGTGTGCGGAGCAGCTCCAGTTACACCCAACGGACCCCTCCCACCCAAGCAGCCCCCACCCACTCCAGTAGAGCCCGCCTCCAGCCCAGAAGCCAAAGGTCAGGTAGCCAATGGGGAGTCCCAGTTCGCCGAACCCAACGGGGAGGTGTCTGTAGGAGGGGAGGGGTCATCAGAGTGGGCGTGTCCTCGCTGTACTTTAGTAAACACTCCGGTGGCTTTATCGTGCTCGGCATGCGGCGGTCCGAGGAAACTCTCCTTACCAAAAATCCCTCCCGAAGCGCTAGTGGTCCCAGAAGTGCGCACACCCGTGGTGGGGTTTCCCACTCAAACGGCAGGAGCGTCCGCGCCGCTTCTCATTGATCTGACTGAAGATTCTCCACCCCAAGCACCTTCCGAAACCCCGTCTCCGCCCCCCGTCCCGTTTCTGCCCCCTTCCCTGTCCTCGCTTCAAAATAACCCTGTGCCTCGCAGCCGAAGGGAAGTCCCACCCCCTGGACGTCCTCTAAACCCCACCCCCTCACCAACATCGCCCTCAACATGCCCTCCTACCAAAACCAAGCCCCTCCCACCATCAGACAACTACCCAATCAAGCGCCTCGGCGTGCTGGAAGAGGAGGAGCCTAACAACCCTGCACCTCCAATCACGTCTCCGCCCTCTTGGAAGTGCCCCGGATGCTCCACCCCCACAGCTCCTCCCTCGTCATCTGCCGGGCGTTGTGATGCATGTCGAGGGTCATGGCCGGGTTCGGGCGCCGACGTCATTGACGTACTGGGCGAGTCTGTGCGATTCACGCCGGCGTCGCCGTCCAGTCCAGACTTCAGCTCATGGGCGTGTTCCAAATGTACGTTGCGCAACCCGACAGGCGCGGGCCACTGCACGGCCTGCGGATCATCCAAATTGCACGGTTTCTCCGAGCCGTCCAACTGCTCGTCTTGTTCTCGGAAACAACCGCACTCCCACATGCGTGCCTTTACTTCCACCTCCTCTTCCTCCATCTCGTCCCCGTCGGCGCAGGACAAGAGCGCCTGTCAGTGGACATGTCCTGCCTGCACGCTGTTGAACGAAGTGAGGATGAAGCATTGCGCGGCGTGTCACACCCCGCAGCAGTACCTCAATCAGCGCAAAATCGGAAAGCCTCTCAAACGCCGGGAGAGCATGCATGTGGAAGCCCGCAGGCGCACGGATGAGGGAGAGGCCAAGGAATTGTGGGAAAATATCGTCAGCTTTTGTAGAGAGGTAAGACACTGTCAGTTTGATTTGGGGAAAAAAATTATATAGTAATTTTTAATAGGGCTGGGACAATAAATCGATGCGTTGCGATTCGTAGGTCGATTCTGAGATTATCGGAATGCATCGCGATTCTTTCTGGAATCGATTCTGAGCTTAGTTTTTAACAGCAGATGGCACTCTAGTCTAGTTTTTAACCGCACACTCAAATGCTCACAAAGAAGAGCCCTTGTGCGTTCGGCTGAGTAACGTAAATGGTTAAATGTACTTGCACCTTTTATGCTTTTATGACGTGAGATTAATGTAAATACAGCCCTCTATGAACACCCTTGTAATTCGCTTCAACCTTTTCAAACTTTATGAATGATTATTTTATGTTCAAGTGGTGTGTGTGTAAGGAACTGTAAGCAAGCACAGAACGGCTGTTTCTAATGCGTGCATTGCTGATGTTAAAAATTAAGTTCAGAATCGATTCAACAGAGAAGCGCAATGCATTCCGATAATATCAGAATCAATGCAGAACAATTACTCAATTCGCAATGCATCGATTTATTGTCCCAGCCCTAATTTTTTAAGTAGCGTCTAGAAATTCTTACTTTTTTGGCGTATATGATATTGATTTGAACAAATATCGTCCGATACTCCATTCTACAGAGTCCCGCAAATGATGTGCAGAAAAAAAAAATTTCTTAATTTGTGGCCACGTTTTAAATTAAATGTATTAATTTGTTCCCTTGTTTTAGGTAAATTTTCTGTCACTTGAATTTATTTAAATTGTGAACATTATTTAACTAAAAAAAAGTTAGTAGCCACGATTTACCTAAAATACGCGAACAAATGAATAAGTCCTGGGAATGATAACGTAGTTTAAGTGATATTACAATGATATTAAAATGAATTCCAGTAACAGAAATGTTATCAGAATTGGTGAATTCGATTTAAATTGTCCATTTAATTTAATCCTGAAAGATGCACAATGTTTTCCATGTAAAAATATGTAGATAAATGTATTTTATTAATTAGGCTAGGGTTATTTTAGAGTTAAATTAAAATTATTATTATGTAGTTCTTCATTTCAAAAACATAATTATTTTAGCAAAGGAGTCCCGCAAATGATGTGCAGAAAAAATTTTTTTCTTAATTTGTGGCCACGTTTTAAATTAAATGTATTAATTTGTTCCCTCGTTTTAGGTAAATTTTCTGTCACTTGAATTTATTTAAATTGTGAACATTATTTAACTAAAAAAAGTTAGTAGCCACGATTTACCTAAAATACGCGAACAAATGAATAAGTCCTGGGAATGATAACGTAGTTTAAGTGATATTACAATGATATTAAAATGAATTCCAGTAACAGAAATGTTATCAGAATTGGTGAATTCGATTTAAATTGTCCATTTAATTTAATCCTGAAAGATGCACAATGTTTTCCATGTAAAAATATGTAGATAAATGTATTTTATTAATTAGGCTAGGGTTATTTTAGAGTTAAATTAAAATTATTATTATGTAGTTCTTCATTTCAAAAACATAATTATTTTAGCAAATTTTTTAAAAACTATTTTTTACATGATATCCAAAATACTATATTATACATATCGTTTAAAAGTTTGGAGTCTGTACAATTTTAAAGGGGTCATATGATGCTTTTTTAAAGATCATTATTTTGTGTATTTGGTGTAACAAAATATGTTGACATGCTTTAATGTTCAAAAAACATTATTTTTCTAATACTGTACATTATTGTAGGTCCTCTATGCCCCGCCTCTCTCAAACACGTCGTTTTCAACAAAGCCCCCTCCTTTGACAAGCGCAGTCTGCTCTGATTGGCCAGCTGACACAGTGCATTGTGATTGGCCGAACTCCACAAGCACGCGTCGGAAATGTAACACCCCTTACCATAATCGCGAGCTTCAGCTTTCAAAGTAAATATCAAGACCGTTAATAATGTGGTTACTTTTACCATCAGTTCAAGCCTGAAAGAGCAACAGAGTCGCGTGACAGACACAGTGATGATGCAGTACACAAGCCGCGGTTAAGACGGCTGACGTGCTATGATTTCTGACAGGCAGTTCACTCTCCTGTGATGTGACCCTGTTCCCCTCACACACACACACACACACAC